CACGTTTCATTTGGAGAAACTCTACAGACCTGTGAGGACTATGGTGAGAGCAGAGATGGGAAGGCAGACACCGGTTCAGGTGGGAGCTGGAAGGAAGACAGGAACTGTACAGCACCCAACTAAACCAAGCATATCTGTCCCCAAGGCAGGTTCACCAGACCAAGAAGGCTTCTTCAACCTGCTGAGCCACGTACAGGGCGATCGGATGGAGGAGCAACGCTGTTCCTTGCAGACTGGTCCGGGCCAGACCCCAGAAAGCCGTAAGCTGGACACGCTGCAGGATTGGGGTGGGGGGTGCTTCCTGAGAAGCAAATGTGGCAGGGATGAAGGGGTCCTGAGATTTTGTGGGTCTTGGGAGTCAGGGTGGGGAGCACCATGTGACCTCCTTTGGAGTCTGTATCTATGGCCCACCTGTCTCTGCTCCAAGTAGAGGGTGGCTCTGCTCCAGAGATGGATAACCTCATGGATATGCTGGCAGACACCCAGGGCCGCCGCATGGATGATCAGCGGGTAACAGTCAATTCCCTGCCTGGCTTCCAACCTATCGGTCCCAAGGTAGGTGATGTCTCAATAACCTGTGGAGTGTAGCAGTGTAACTCTCTAGGTCTATGCCCCATCTCCAGCCAAAATAGGATGGGACCCTATCTCTACACGTCTTGAACTCTGGGAAAGGAAAGTGCAGGTGGATGTCAGAGGGGCTGAAGATCATACAGGGCTCATTCTGGTATCAGAGGCATGGCTGGAAGTCACAGCTCCTGCCACAACATCTGTGTATCTGAGAAAGGGCACAGGGAGAAAACAGTTTTCCTATGGTCACCCTGGTGGGAGGAGGGCATATGAGCTCACACACCCATATTAATGAAGAACATGGGTTGTTTGGAGTGTTTTGTTTTATTGTTTTTTGCAATAGGGTTTCATGTAGCTCCAGGTGACCTCAAATGCACTAGCCAATGATGACTTTAGACTTTCAGTTTTCCTACATGTACCTCCTGGGTGCTAGTGTTACAGGTGTGAGCCACCAGGAGCATCTGTGTGGTTGGGGATGGAATCTAGAACTTTGGTGAATTCTCTGCCAACTGAGCTACACCCTCAATCCTGTGTCTGGGTACACTAGCATACATGTTACAGGTTCATGTGCCCATATGCAGGTGGAGGCCAGAAGTCAACCTTGAAACTGTTCCTCAGGCGCTGCCATCACCTTGTTATTTGAGACAGGATCTTTTGCTGCCCTGGAACTCACCAAGTAGACCAGGATTCCCTAGGGATCCTCCTGACTACTCAAGCACTGACCGAGATTACAAGTGCATAAGGCCACATCTGGCTTTTCACTTTGGGGTTGGGGATTAAACTCAGGTCTCCCTGTGTACACAGCAAGGATTTTAATGACTGAGTTATCTCCTCAGCCCATTTATTTGTTTGTTTTTGAGTCAGGGTTATGAACCTGGAACTTTTTGTGTAGACCAGGTGGCTTTGACCCTGAGATAATTCTCCATCCTCTTCTTGAGTGCTGGGATTACAGGTGTAAACCAACAGCCCAGGTTCTGATCAAGACCCCACTGGGAGCTAACCATGTCATCAAATACCACCCTGATTGGCAGACAAAAAGAAATGTTGTGTGGAGGCACCTCTCTGGCTTGCACTTTCTTGGTCCCCTCCCTATTTCTGACCCTTCTTCATCTGCAGGATGGAATGCAGAAACGACCTGGGACCCTCAGCCCTCAACCCCTGCTCACCCCTCAGGACCCTGCTGCACTCAGCTTCCGCAGGAACAGCAGCCCCCAACCCCAGACACAAGCTCCTTGAGAGTTCTAGTCATCCTGGGCCCCAGACTGGCCCCTGAAAAGAACAATAAAACACTTGGCACTATTAACAAAGAATTGAGTGTGTGTTATTTCCTGGGTGGAGGGGCTGGGACTTGAGGACTTGGAGGTCTCAGGGGTTCTGCTGAGCAGCTTTAAGAAGTCTCTCTTCCCTCTGCTTCCGGATCTTCTGTTTGAATTCTTCTAGTTCCTGGCGCTGGAATGAAGAAAGGGGTGTGACAGAAAGGAAGGAGGGGCACACACCTCAGGGCCTGGACTTACTCCCACTACCCTCCCTTTGGCTTGAGAGTTCAGTATCCATACTGGGACCCCATGCCAATCATAACTACCATACCAGTGCATTCAATTCATCCTTCAGGGAGAAGGTAAAATATTAAATCATTTGTGTCCTCCCACTTTCTAAGACAGGGTCTTACATACCACAGGCTAGCCTTGAGCTCACTATGCAGCAGAAAATATCCAGAATTCCCAATTCTCCTGTAACCATCTCCTAAGTGCTGGAATGCTGGAATTACCTCCCCCTCTTCCAGGCTCCCTCTCTCTAGCCCTATACAGCCCAGGCTGGTTTCAATCTGGTAATCCTCCTACCCCTGCTTCCAAATGATCGCAGGCGTATACATCATGAACAGTAAGAAACGTGTGTGGAAACAAGGTCTCTAGCTCTGGATAGCCTGGAACTCCTATTCATTTTTCTGTTTCCAATTTCCTATTTGAGGCTGAGGGTGAAATGTATTCCAAGCCCCCTGGAAGAATGGGTTACTTACCTGACCCTCCTTCTCTCGTGGCCACAGCTCCCTCTGTGGGACAAAGTCACAGGTGAGAACACAAGCCAGAAGAATCCAGAGTCCCACATGCAGCGCAGGGTTGACTTCATGGGAGGCAGGTAATGGTCCCAAACACCAAGCCTCCTACCCTGCTTTCCCCATCCCCAGGAATGATCCAGCAAGCACTCTCCTGATACCCACCTTTCGCTGGATAACAGAGTCCTCAAACCACTCTGCCTGATTGGAGATCCAGAACATAACCACGGGGAAAGTGAGATAGAGTGACATCTGCAAAAGCAGAGATGGATAGACAGAGCCCAGAACTGTCACCACCCTGGTACAGGGAGATTGCAGGAGAGCCCGGAAGAAGATCTATCCTCCTACACAGGTCAGGATCCCGGCCTCAGCTCCTCCCCCGGAGCCCCAGAAATCCTACCAGGAGAACGGAAACCCGGCACCTTAAAGCCTGGGCTTCATGAGTCAGAAAGCTTTATTCGTAATAGTCCTGTCCTACACACACACACACACACACACACACACACACACACACGGGAGGGGAGGGGGAGAGAGGCAGAGCAAGGGGGGGAGAGAGGCGTGCATAAAGGAGCGCGGTGGAGGACGGGGGAGGGGAGGCAACAGTTCAAGAGCTCCTACTACAAAGACACATCCTTCAGACGTTATTACCTCCCAACCTGATCGTCGAAACATTTCAAATAGAGGGGCCTCGTTTTTTCAATCATACTCTCCTACATCTAGGAGTAAGCCTATCTGAGGCCCATTATGAGCCCAGGGATCTCCTTCTGAAAATCCCGCTCTGTATCTGAAGCCTCCCTTCACCCTCACTGAGACGCTTCCTCGGGCCAAACCCAGACTCTCCATTCAAAGCCCCCACACCTAGCGCTCCTTCCGCGGGGGTTCCAACACACAGCTCAGATACTTTCTCCGTGGAACTCCCCACTCTGCACTTCTCTCACTTCCCACATCTATCCTCAAATTCAGAAAGAGCCTGGGTCCACACGTCCGACACACTCCTGGGCTCACTGACCCGAAACACCTCCAGCTTCACCCCCATCTCGCTTTTCCGGTTCTACGAAGCCACTTCCGCCCAAAGGCGATTCTCCAGCAATGCAAAATCTCATTGGTGCATCTCAAGAAGCAATACTGAAGCTGAGTGGCCATAACCTCTCGTTGGCTGCGTCATCTTCCGGCGCCCCCTCTCTGCTTCCGGTCACAGCCTTGACGATACGGGTCTGGTCGGAGGGGGCGGGCCTTCTGTGAATGACGCCATCAGAGCACGACTCTCGTCTGTACCTGGAGTGCCAGGAAGATGGTGGTGATGGCGCGAGTACCGCGTCCCGAGCGGCCGGATCTTGTTTTTGTAAGTCTGCAGCGAGGCCACGGGTGCTCCGCGAGGGAAGACCCGAAGCTAGTCCTTCCAGGGTCGGAATCTGACTCTCGGGCGTGTAGACCCAGACTGTGCTTGTCCAATCCATGGAGAGCCTAACGAGCCAAAGGCGACATGTCAAAACATTGGCCATGCCGGGATTAAAGAACCGGATCTTTCGTCGCCTGAGTGAGGGGCTGCTGTTGAGGTTAAGGCCTAGATGTCTCGGGCCGGGAGAAGTGAGGTCAAGAGGGGAATGGGATAGCAGGGGAACGGCATGGATGTTGATAGGCATAGTGGCAAGGTTCGAGTTGTGGCTTCTGGATGGCACCTTGATTTCTGGGGCTACAAGAACCTTGGAGTATGAAGAAAAGTCTAGTGATGTAGATAGCCCCTAGAATCCTAAAAAGGTGAAAATTTGGTGGCTGAAATAGAGGCCTCATATTTAAACCGCGTTCATAGTGGTCTGGGTTAAGGGCCATAACGGGGTTGTGTGTTTAACCAAGGGTCTCGTGCATGCAAAGCAAGCACTCTACAATTGATCTATATCCCACCACACACACACGCACGCACGCATGCATCCCACCTCCTGAGAATGTAAAACCTTTAGCTTGCAATGTCTGGGATAAAGTTGAGCTAAAGTACAGGTTAATGGGATCCTGGAGGGCCAGAAGTTTGATGGACTAGGTGGCTTAAGTAAAGATTTAGTCACCTGGGGCTGAGGAGGTGGCGCAGTTGGTAAAGTGCTTGCTATACAAGTGTAAGACCTCAGTTCAGAATCCTAACACCTACATAAAATGCTAGTGAGAGACCCTGTCTCAAAAATAAGGTGGAGAGCAATTGAAGAGGACCTCCAGCCTCTGCCAGCACCAGCTCCCACATGTGTGTACATGAATGTATACACAAACACACAAATTATTTTTGTTTGAGATAGGATCTCACTATGTAGCCCTGACTGGACTGGAACTTACTGTAGACCAGCCTGTCCTTGGACTCATAGAGATCCACCTGTACCTGCCTCCTAGAGGAAGCTGGAAGAAAAAAATTAATTAATTAAAAACATTAAAATTGGGCTGGAGAGATGGCTCAGAGGTTAAGAGCACTGGCTGCTCCTCCAGAGGTCCTGAGTTCAATTCCCAGCAACGACATGGTGGCTCACTACCATCTGTAATGAGATCTGGTGCCCTCTTCTGCATACAGGCCGAACACTGTATACATAATAAATAAAGCTTTAAAAAAAAAAAACATTAAAATTTTGAGCCCAGTGTAGTAGCACATACCTTTGATTCCATCACTTGGGAGGCAGAGGTAGGCAGATCTCTGTGAGTTTGAAGGCAGTGTAGTCTACATAGTGAGTTTCAGGACAGCCAGAGCAAAAAGTGAGACTCTGGCAGGTAGGGGTGTGTGTGTGTCTGTGTCTGTGTCTGTGTGTAAACCTTCGTTATCTGGGCCTGGTATAAAGATATGGTGACAGTGTGAGCATGGGGAACAAAGGCCTAATGTCTGGGAAGAAGTGTGTTGTAATTAATACAACCTGCTGTTCGTGGCAAAGGCTTGGCACCTGGACCTGGGCCCTGGTGTTATGCAAGTCTGGAGATTATGGGATTGCATGGGAGAGGATAATAGATGGTGAAAATGTCTAAAATTCACTGCATATGTGTATGAAATTGTCAAAGAATTTTTTAGAGTGTGGGGATTGTGATCAGGAAGTGGGCAGTAGAATTTACTGGCCACAGCTGATATCTCATTAACCACTAGTGGCTGAGAAGTCTGTGTGGACAGTTGAGTTCTGAGGGCCAGAGGTCTGAACTAACACTCTAACACAGTGGTTCTCAACCTTCTTAATGCTGTGACCCTTTAATACTTTTCTACATGTTTTGATGACCCCCAACCATAAAATTATTTTCATTGCTACTTCATAACTAGGTTTTTTGTTTGTTTGTTTGTTTGTTTGTTTTTTTTGCTGCTGTTATGAATCACAATATAAACATCTGTGTTTTCTGATGGTTTTACGCGACACCTGGAAAGCGTTCTTTGTCCCCTCAAAGGGGTTGCAACCCACAGGCTGAGAACCACTACTCTAGCATCTGAGTGACTGGTAATCCCATTTCAACAGAAGAAGAAACCATGCCTGGGACACTGCTATGTTGTGTTTCTTTATTTGTTAAAGTTTTGTTTTTGTTTTTTGTTTTTTGAGACAGGGTTTCTCTGTGTAGCTTTGGAGCCTATCCTGGCACTCGCTCTGGAGACCAGGCTGGCCTCTAACTCACAGAGATCCACCTGCCTCTGCCTCCCAAGTGCTGGGATTAAAGGCATACACCACCAATGCCTGGCTTTTTTTTTTTTTTTTTTTAATCATGTTTATGTGAGCACATCTTTAATCCCATCACTTGGCGGGCAGAGCCAGGCAGATCTCTTGAGTTCAAGGCCAGCCTGGTCTACAGAGTGAGTTCCAGGACTGGCAGGACTGTTTCACAGGGAAACCTTGTTTCAAAAGAAGAAGAAAAAAAAGTGTGTGTGTGTGTGTGTGTGTGTGTGTGTGTGTGGTGTTGACAGAGGCTGGAGTTACAGGTGGTTCTGAGCTGTCTGATACGAGCGCAGGGAAGATGAGGATAAGTTCGAGTCCTCTGCAAGAGCTCTTAACTACTGACCCATGTCTCCAGCCCTCAGCCCTGTTTGTTTTTAAGTATAGTGTGTTTGTAATGTGTGACTGTGTATTGGCCAAAAAGAGAGGTTAGCTGTATTCCTTAGTTGCTCTCCATCTTACTTTTTGAGACAAAAGTCTTCTCACTGTACCTGAAGCTCACTGGCTGGCTAATGGGCTGCAGGGATCTCCCTGTGTGTGCTTGACCAGCACTGGGATTATAGATACACACTGCCATGCCTGGCGTTTACATGGGTGTTCTGAACCAGGTTATCATGCTCATGCCTATGGACTAGGTCATCCTTCCACTCCTGTTTGTTTTGTAATTTTAGCATGTTCGAGAGGTAAACCGTATGTGCCACTTGTGTGCAAGTGGAAAGTAGAAGACATTGATTCTCTCCTACCATGTGGATTGAACTCAGGTCCTCAGGCTTGGTGGCAGGTGCCTATACCCGCTGAGCTTTTCACCAACCTCCCATTTGTTTTGTTCTTTTGAACAAAAACAATTCTTTTGTTCTTTTGGTCTTTTTGCCTCTGAAGTGATGGGAGTATAAGCTTGCACCACTGCCTTTTGGAGGAGCATAGAATTGTAGTAGAAGCCTAGAGTTTGGCACTAAACCCTGTGTGGGGTGTGACTCCACTGAGACTAAGGATGGGCCTCTCTCCTCCCCTTCCCTGGCTCTGGCAGGAGGAAGAGGACCTTCCCTATGAGGAAGAAATCATGAGGAACCAGTTCTCCGTCAAATGCTGGCTTCGTTACATCGAGTTCAAACAGGGGGCCCCAAAACCACGGCTCAATCAGTTGTATGAGCGGGCACTCAAGCTGCTTCCCTGCAGGTACAAATGGCCTTCTCTGTGCTACCCTGCTCACCAGCCCCCACCCCTCCATATACAGTCACACACAAGTAGTAATGTGTCCCAGATGATCACTGTGTATTCCCTTATATATCCTGTATATTCACAACCCCTGCTGGGTTACACCTTTCCTCATTCCCAGTATTTCCCTTCCTTGTAAGAACTCTCACCCCTCCTCAGTCCCTTTTTGTACCACAGTTGCCTCTGGAGCAAGGAAAGGGTTCTAGAGTTCCATAAGCCATATCTGTCTTCACTGCTCTCTAGCTACAAACTCTGGTACCGCTATCTGAAGGCACGCCGGGCACAGGTGAAGCATCGCTGCGTGACTGACCCTGCCTATGAAGATGTCAACAACTGCCACGAGAGGGCCTTTGTGTTCATGCACAAGGTGGGGAGCTGGGGAAGGGGTATGCAGTGGGAACTATTTTCCCAGGGAGATGTAAACAGGTGTCTACCCCTTCCTTATAGTGCTCCAGCAAAATAAAGTATAGGTCCACCAAAATGCTCCACCTACTTGAGGAACTAACGAGTTGGCTTATTTACAGAGCCTGAGTGAGGGGTAATGAGACCTATTGCCTCCCTGCTGCCCTTATGTCCTAGATGTGGATGGTAAGCAAGCCATGGAGCCTGTGGCTCAGACATGCCTCACCCATCACTTTCCATTATTTCCAGATGCCACGTCTGTGGCTAGACTACTGCCAGTTCCTCATGGACCAGGGACGAGTAACACACACCCGCCGCACCTTTGATCGCGCCCTCCGGGCACTACCCATCACACAGCACTCTCGCATCTGGCCCCTGTATCTTCGATTCCTGCGCTCCCACCCACTGCCTGAGACTGCTGTGAGAGGCTACCGTCGCTTCCTCAAGGTAAGCACCATTGAATAGTCCTGTTCCCAGGTCGGCTTCCAAACCTTGACTCACTGGGATAAGGGCCCTCATGCAACAGATAGGCTGCAGGAAGAGGCTCCTATGGTGTGTGGGTGTGTTTTGCATACCCATGCA